CGTAACTGGTGAGATGTAAGACTATAGATGTTGAATAAATAATCTGAGAAAGATTTGAGGATATTTTTTGGCAAAAGTATTTCAGTGTTATCAATCACTAGCGGAATTTGTTAACTTCAAACAAGGAGGTTAATCGATGGTGGATTATATCAAAAAGTTTAAGAAATTAGTAATACCCTCGCTATTGTCCATCACTTTTGCCTTACCATGAGAACTCGATCATCACTTGTTGACATGCTATATCCCTGTAGAGGCGACTTTGGGCTCGCCCTTCTCTTTCCCTTTCTCTTCTATATTATCGAAGCCTCATCATTCGTAACATCTTCCTTTCTCATTCCAACAGAGCTATCATGGGCGTCACAAACGTCAACAATTTCTCATTACCCTTTGACTCTGAGTCAAGGCAATAGTGTCAATGAAAGCTAAGGAGGACAGTAACCACGAGATGAGGATGCTCACGATGAGGCCTCACGACATGCCAAAGATGACAACCGACAACAAAAATAGTTAACATTGAGGATAGAGGCTTCATGGATTGTAGGACTAGGGCTATGCACAGAGAAACTTCACGATAAGACGAAGGTAGCCACTATAGGGCGGAGACGGTATGGGCGACGAGCAATGGGTGAGACGAGGGGTATTACGTAAGAAATATTGGGCACCAAATTGAAAAACTAAAAACTATGATACCTTTTTTTAAAATCAAAAAAGAGAATTTTTATTTCAGGAAAATTGTCCCACAATTTTTTGCTTGCTTATTTTGACCTTTGGTAACCATTTGAATATCTTAAAAGTGATTTCCCAGGGGGCAAAAAAACCCCCACATTTGTGGATTTTGCAGGATCAAACTACCTTTTCTCATTTTGTTTAGAGAGAGCTCCTCCCCTTACAGAATGATTTGGCTAAAGAATCTATCCAATCTAGGTGGATTTTGGTGAGAAACTCATGTCTTTTCTAATATTGAGGGCCCTTTAATGAGTTTGAGATGGGAGGGTATTTCTCCAAGCGAAATAAAAGATAAGAGGGATTTATCCGAGAAAACCCACAAATGATTGGCTTTAACTATGCTTCATCATGAGTTTGCGACTAAATCAAGAGCATTCAGATGTCTTTAGGGCAGCATTTGCCTCAGTCTGATATGTGGTCATTAGGGGCGTACAATGATCATGACTTCAAACTTTAAACTCAGGATCTTTCTTGATAATGTCATGTTTCCTCACCTTCTGGAAACTGATTTCGGACAATGACAAACCTGTTCTAATAAATTGTGGACTCTAATGCTTGTGGAAGCCGCAAAGTGACACTTAATATGTATATAGGGTTCATAGGGATTTTGATGATAGAAGCACGTCATGAGCAATACAATAATATTTCATTGCAAACAAGAATATAATTGCAAATTACGTGATGAACAACACAACAAGTATTATGAAACACTCCTAATTCCAGCTTATTATATTTACACTTACCAGATGCATATTACCTTTACATAACCTCGCAGAATTCTGTGAGAAAAAAGATTAAATAATGTTATATATGAGAAAGGTGATTACATGTACATTCATGAAAAAAAAGGAATGAAATAAATGAATTTTAGAATGAAGATACTATACAACAGACTCCTATGTGTTTCATTCCAGCTCGATGCTCCATGTGTTCACTCCCAGAGCATCGTAATGAGCTCTTAGCATTTCATATTAGCAGCTGCACTAATGTTAGTGGGGACAACAGAAATGGATGACAAAGAAGTGAGAACACGAGAAGCTAAAGCTGTTTCACAAGTGCACTCGTCAAAGGAAGAATTCTGGAAAGGACCACATGATGAACTTTGCAAATATGTCGGTCTCAAGAAACTCTATGTGTGCTGCTCGCCCGATGATTGTATTCAAGTTCCTCACTTGAGAAGAAGTGTCAAAATTCACATCACACCGCATGAATACTCTCCGTTCAGATGAAGGAGCACGGATTTGATCCAAGCAATTGTTGAGCATGTCCATGAAGATGTGAGACTTCTTTGACTGATCCCAAGACGATGCCTGGCACAGTTCAATTCTGGCAGAATGGTAAGGAACGTAACCATCCTGGAAAAAAAAAAAAGGAAACCAATTAAAAGAACTACTACAGCAATCATTTGTTTTGCATGTGAATAAACATCAAGTGTCAACAGATACAAGTTAAGAGGTGAAGCAGGATGACCTAGAAGAAATGATAAATAGCAAGTTTCTTCATGTTTGATATTTTGCTACAAAAAGAAATTCGGCACTTTGGAGGGTTAAAGATCAAAGTATTCAGAAGGGCTCATAATCTGTTAATAGGTATCACAAAAGCACATGCTAACATTTTAAAATTCTGCCACTTCGATTATAAAACTATGTTTGCAGAGTTTGCAACAAGCCACTAACTATGTTTTCCCAAAGCCACTTATATATCATGTTAGACTTCAATCGGGCACTCATTTGTAAACATACTAGTTTAGTCCTAATGAAAGTGGGAGAAGATTTGAAAAGAGGAAGAGATTTGAGTTTGCTTTATAGGGACAGAGTAGGTCTACCATTATTAGTTTGGGATTGAGCATTATGGGAGTGGTTCAAATTTATCAAACTAATGAGTCAGTTATCGTACGAAAAGGAGTTGTTACAATTGATAAATATATCTAGTACTAAGCATGACCCAAATAGGAAAGGATTAGGAGCCACCCTTGGGCAATGCATGACGTGCATTATACTGAAATATAATTTTGGGCTATGGTTTCAGCTTTTATTAGATGTCAAGCCACAAGAGGAGAATCAGATCCATATTGGAAGTGGGTGCAGATTTGAGTTGGTTTATAAGACTAGAGTGGGTCTACCATATTATCAACATGAGACCAAAAATTTTAAGCTGTTGGTTCAGACTTATCAAATAAATAGGTCAGCTATCCTATCGACTCAACTCGTGACATCTTTTATGAGCATGCACTTGTAGACGTAAGATAAAAGCAATCAGAAAGTTGTCCCATAGAATTCTGTCAATAAAATACAATATCACACATAATAATCCTAGACTAGATGTAATGATCGTGCTGTTCAAAACCCTAGTCTGAGAAAAAAATGCTAGAGGAAACATTTTTTTTGATGCAGTGAAAAATGGTGCCTTAGCTGAAAAACAAAATAAATGCCATTAAAAAAGAAAACAGCATCTGTTTAACAAATATGAATCTAGGCATAAGCTACTTATTGAAATGATCTGTACTCCTTGTTTGTCAATACAGCAGAAATAACACAAATACAAGCAGAAAACAAAATCAAAATAAGACAATGTAGCCAAATGCAGAACTTGAAAGTTGCTTATTTTTTCAGCCATCAGGGGTTAAAGGAGCCAAATTTTGATCAGGTCACCTTTTCTCAAGAAAAAGAAAAGGAGAAAAAACAAAAGAAAGTGTTTAGTGGTTTGCTTGGAAGAGTAAATTTAGATGTTCGGTAACACCATTTATCTAAAAATTCACCAAAATATACCAATATACGGTTCTAGGGACCAATCATATAGAATGGTCTTAAAATTCAATTAAATGCACCCACTCTAACAATGTACATTTAAGCATGACACAGTGGTTATGATAAAAGTGAAAGACCAAAAACATTTTCATTACTGTGGGAGAAAGCACAATAGATCATAGGACCAAGATAAGGTTCAAGAATGGCACAAAAAATAGTAGTGTTATGTGCATTTGGAATGAACCTATGAAAGTATAAGTTTCCTTTTTTTCACAAGCTGCCAGTTTAATTTTAGTACATACAGGAAAGAACTTTACAGAATATAGTACCTGTGGGGAAGATACCAGGATAATGTTTTTGAAATTTTCCAATGTCTTCTGCTGAAAATTGACAAGAAAACATATAAGAAATTACATACAAGCAAGATTCTAAAGACTTGTTTTATTCTGGTTTCAACAAACTTGCTGGATTGGTACAAAGGTACTAAGCAGTTTACCGTCATGAACAGCCTAACAATGATGAAATATAAAATAAAATAAAGGTATATCGAGTCGTACAAAGTGTATTTCACCAGTGCTTGATTGCGGTAGTAAACACCAGATGGTAAGTAACTATTCAAACGATATTTTAAAGTTGGAATAGTACAACTCACGAACCAGAGAAAAACGATCTTGAAATGAAGCAGTACTAAAGATCTTAACAAAGATTTCTACAACATTCTTCTCATGTTCCTTCGGATAAGCAGGAAATCCATTTCACAACAAATATCTACAGTTCTACACTATTATATAACTCACCTGTCCTTTAGTGAAGCTTTTAGTGTGGACTTCAAATGATGTTGTCATCACTGCAAATCTGAGGCATGCATCATGGTAGTATTCTTTAATTTTTTTAGGTTGCTAACAGGGGAAGAGATGCTCAAAACAAGTGCTGCATGCTAACATGTTCATTTTTCCAGTAAAAAGGGAGAGACAATTATGTCTAGACTCTCTCTCTTCTCTCTTACTACATCTAAATTCTAACATACTTAGGTTGCACGGCAAAGAACTTTAAATTATAGAGAGTTAGAAACTACGGAGCAGATCACCACTAGTTTCAACCAGCAATCACAAACTGGCAAACAAATTACACTCATCTGTTTATACTAGTCAAGTTTATAATGGTGATGAAAATATAAACTAAAACAGGTAGAAAAGAAACAGTGGAATAGTGAAAACCAAGTTTTCATTGCAAAGTTGTAGCAAGGGCCACAGTTTCTGTAGAAGATAGTGTATATCTATTAGTTTCTTTTATTATCTGATGGATAACAATTGCTGAATATAGTAATAATGACAAATAATTGCTCAAGGTTTAGTTTTTGATAAAAATATGTTATCTATAATTCTTAAATATTCATAATTTAAAAAAAGGAAAAGTTACTTATAGGTCCCTCCGAGGCCAGTAATTGTCTTTAACTTCTAAAAATATGTCTAGCATATAAATCCCAGCAAACCCAAAAGACTTGCATATATGCCATTTTAGTAAATCTTCATCAGCTGTCTGTCTGTCATCATGTGACTGTTCAATTAAGGACTTCAAAATTTTAATCGTCATTAGTACTCTTTAAAAATTCACTTAGTTGACACTAATGATGAAATAAATATTAAACAAATTAGGTATTTGTATTTTATTTTTTAAAACTAAAGATAGCTATTGATAACAATAATTAGTATCTGAAATTTTTGGATGGATGTTAAAGGAACAGGTTTATATGGAGGATCTCAATATTTGGACAGATATACTACACTAAATTTGTAGGTACAAATATACTACTTCCTAACACTGAAAGGATAGATATGTAAACCCCCTAAAATTTCAAGCCTATCTAGTCTGACTTAGTATATTATGTGTAGCAAGTCCTGCAAATATTAAAATATTTAGTGCTTTATTACCTTACAGAGCTTGTAAAAGAATGTATTCTGAAGATCTGGATCATCAGTAGAAGTAAGTTGATTAATGCACTGAGCTCCTTTGAGTTTCTTCAAAAGCCACAATCCTGAATTGAACAAAGAGTTTGAGCTGTACCAATACCCTAAATGTGGCCCTGATATTGACATATATGTATACAAGTGCTTCAAGAAAGGTCCCATTACACTCTCTGCAAAATAGTACATGCTACACAGATATCAGAAAAAGACGTATTCAAGTAAATAATCATGACTCCTCGAGTAAATAATCATTACCTGTTAAGGCACTCCTGATGATGATGTTTCCAATAGAATGCCCAACAAAACTAAGCTTTGTGACTTTACAGCCTCCATATCTTGAAAGCTTATCCATTTTCTTCCTAAGGAAGGCAACCACTTCCAAAGCCAACCTTCGACCCATTTCTCTAAAATCTCCTGTTGTCTTTTCTTCATTAGCTTCTGACATGAGACATTCAGCTCCAGGATCTATCAAAAGCCATTGATTCCGAACAAGTCTTAAATCGAGATGGTGCCCCTATTATGGCAAAGAACGATGTACAGAGTCAACAAAGCCACAATCTACAAGGTTAATCAATCAATACAAAAAGTTTCTATGTCACTTAGAAATTCGCTTTGCAAATAAAACCCTTAAAAAATGCCATTTTGTAGATACAGAGACATAGATACCATGTGATACAGTCTGATCAAGGGTAATTTAAAGATTGTGAATAACAAACTAGAATATTAGAACATATAGAATTTAATGTAATTTTTGTTTCATTGTAGGTGGCATTCCTTGTGCTTCATGACTTTCATCTCCATTTCCATAATGAACCAGGATTAGGAAATATAACATCTTGATAAGTCAACATTTGGTCGATTCACCATTGGTGCGGCCCGTAGGCTCGTGAAGAATTATCCGCTTTGGGCGATGGGCGTACCCGCATAGTTTTGTCCTTTCGGAGTTCGTGAGCTCTAAAAGGCGCCTCTGAGGGTAAGGGTGACCCGGCAGACTTATGAGCTATTGGTTCCCCTACTCCTCAAACAATGTAGGACTAAATGTCCTTATTAGTGCTCTCTCCCACAGGGGAGCTGAGAGCTCAGGGCCCTCCTTCTAGTGCCAATCTAATAAGTCAACATTTGGTCGGTCTGCCATTGGTGCGACCCCGTAGGCGCGCGAGGAATTATTCGCTTTGGGCGATGGACATACCCACACGGTTTTGCCATTTCGAAGCTTATGAGCTCCAAAAGGCGCCTATGAGGGTAAGGGTGACCCAACGAGCCTATGAACCCTTGGTTCCCTTACTCAACCAATGTGGGACTAAATGTCTTTATCAATTCTCCTTCCTGTAGGGGAGCCAAAGGCCTAGGGCCCTCCTTCTAGCACCAATCTGGAAAGTCAACATTTGGTCGGTCTGCTATTAATGCGACCCGTAGGCTCGCGAGAAATTGTTCGCTTTGGACAATGGGCGTACCCGTACAGTTTTACCCTTTCGGAGCTCGTAAGCTCTAAAAGATGCTTTTGAGGGTAATGGTGACTCCGCAGACTTATGAGCCCTTGGTTCCCCTACTTCTCAACCAATGCGAGACTAAATGTCCTTATCGGTGCTTCCTCCCCTATGGGAGCCAAGGCCCTTCTTCTAATGCCAATCTGATAAGTCAACATTTGGTCGGTCCACCACTGGTGCGGCCCGTAGGCTTACGAGGAATTGTCCACTTTGGGCGGTGGGCGTATCCGCACGGTTTTACCCTTTCGAAGCTCGTGTGCTCCAAATAGCGCCTCTGAGGGTAAGGGAGACCCGGCGAACTTATGAGCCCTTAGTTTCCTTAGTCCTCAATCAATGTGGGACTAAATGTTCTTATCAGTGTTCCCTCTCGTAGGGGAGCTAAAGGCCCAGAGCCCTCCTTTTAGCACCAATTTGATAAGTCAACATTTGATCGGTCCGCCATTGGTGTGAGTTGTAGGCTCGCAAGGAATTGTCCGCTTTGGACAGTGGGCGTACCCGCACGGTTTTGCCCTTTTGGAGTTTGTGAGCTTCAAAATGCACCTTTGAGGGTAAGAGTGACTCGGCAGACTTATAAGCCCTCGGTTCCCCTACTCCTCAACCAATGTGGGACTAAATCATAGTTTACAATACCATACCATATCGCTCGATACGAGCGGTACGTACTGGTCTGATAGAGGACTGGTATAGGCAGTATATTGGTACACCTTAGTGTACCATGTGTCGGTGTGCTCGGTAAAGCTCGGTACGTACCATACCGATAGATGATCAGTACACCGATACAGTACGGTATTTAGAACCTTTGACTAAATATCCTTATCAGTGCTCCCACCCATATGGGAATCAATGGCTCATTTAGTCTCACATTGGTTGAGGAGTAGGGGAACCAAGGGCTCATAAGTCCGTCGAGTCACCCTTACCCTCAGAGAGGCCTTTTGGAGCTCACAAACTCCGAAAGGGCAAAACCATGCAGCACCGCCCAAAGTGGCCAATTCCTCGTGAGCCTACAAGTTGCACCAATGGCGGACCAACCAAATATTGACTTATCAAATTGGCACTAGAAGGAGGACCCTAGGCCCTTGGCTCCCCTACGAGAGGGAGCACTAATAAGGATATTTAGTACCACATTGGTTAAGGAGTAGGGGAATCAAGAGCTCGTAAGTCCACCGGATCACCCTTACCCTCAGAAGCGCCTTTTGGAGCTCACGAGCTCTAGAAGGGCAAAACCATGCAGGTACACCTATCGCCCAAAGCGGAGAATTCCTCGCGAGCTTACGGGCCGCACCAGTGGCGGACCGACCAAATGTTGACTTATCACATCTAAATATGTTTGTCTTCCATAAGTAAGAAACTGAGTTACAATAACTTCTACATTAGGATAACTAAAGTAAATCATCTTAATATATTAGGATCACTTTCATAAGTAATCACCAATTGGACACTGACAAACAGGAATTGTGGATGGGCAAGGAAATTGGTAATATCAGTTAAAAATACTTCTAAACTACTATTTCTTGTGCCTTTCATATAATAGTTAGCCGAAAAAGTAGTTCTTCAGGCAAACAACATCCGAAGAGTGTTCAAATGTGAGTTCTTCGATACAACAAATTTCAGTGGTAAAAGTGTTCTGCAAAAAATCCTATAAACGAGATTGTTGGCTATACTAATTCAAAAGTGATTCTAAGTTTTCATAATGGACAGAAATAATACTTGTGACCTATTACATTCTTTTCACAGTGATACAACAAAAAAGTTTAGCAGTTGAGAGTTGAGACTATGCTTTATACCTGCTTTAACAAGATGAGTTAGATAAAATAGCAACGGAGCTGCTCAGGAGGCAGAAAATTGCCAAACTGGTTTTTAAAATAAAGCATATGACAATTAAATAAATACAATCAGACATCCTGCGAACTGCAGTTGGGAGGAATCAAGTCTCAACTATTTGAGGTTGGCTATATGAATCTTTTGTCATAAATTCAGGAGGAATGCATTAAATAATTTTATTGAAAGGAGGCCCATAATTATGCCCATACAGATATAATAATTTGTTGAAAGTTAGATGATTCTGCAGTGGGAACCTAGAGGGCCATCAATACAAGTACAACTTACTGGATGCATCAAGTAAAATTACTAATTTATATGACATGTCAACTTTGGAAGCTACAACATCACAGGCATATAAGGAATTAACTGCCAGTGCGATTGGGGACACACCTGAAATCCATGCACAAACACAACTGCTCGTAGTACACGACAATTTCTTTTGGGTCCCAAACTGAATTTGGGTACAACATTTTTACCAAGGCCAGTAGGTATTGCAGCATCATTTGGATCCGGACTATGCAAGGATGAATTGTTAGGAAGATCAATGACATGTTGTTCTACTAGAACAACAGGAACATGTGAAGGATCACCAAAAATATACATGTCTTGAATTGAGTGGCTGTTTATCTGCATACACCATATGAAATTTAGAATCTTCAGGAATAAATTAGCACTAACGTTGTAGCAATCATGATATCTCACTTTCATCTGGGCAATACTTCTCCGGTGAAGTTCAGCGCGTGTTGTTGCACCTTGAGCTGGCTGCACATAAAAGAAAACAAACCACTTAAATATCTTCAGTATTTCAAAACATTTATTTGGCAAGTACACTGAAAATGTGGTAACTGATAAACTAATAAAGGACATTATTACCTCGTCATTGGACTTCCTCACACCTACTACTTTTCCAAGTGCATTATGGTGAGAAGAATCATCAGCTCCACTTTTCAAGTACCGGTGGGGAACTTCAATCTTCGAATGAACCATCCATATGGACCATTCTGCCTTCCGATCCATAGCCCAAACACCATGGAGATGTTCAAGTATTGCAATTCTATTTATCCTAGAGCCAAATGAACTAGATTAACAAGATTTTGAGAACTCAAAAAATGCCTGGTTAATGAAGATCTTTCAGTACTTATTAAATAAGAATAAGGGAGATATTCAAGACTACTCCAACTATGGAGGGACTAAAACAAGGCATATTATAAAACCTTAGGAAAAGGTGAATGAAGGAAGAATAAGATGCATAACAAGAATCAGTCTGGTTTTATGCCTACACTATCAACCATAGAATTTACTTATTTATTGAGACAACCAATGGAAAAATATAAAAGAGATAAAATATTTTCATATATTTTTACAACTTTAAAAAAGCCAGTGGTAAAATTTCTAGGGATTTATCGTGGTGATTTTAGAAAAGGAATGTGTATTTAGTAATTATATTGACATGATAAAAGATATGTTTGATATAGTAGTCACATGGGGTGAATCTAAAGAAGTTTCTATAACTAAAGGATTAATCATTAAATTTATATCCTTACTCTTTTGTGCTGGTAAATCAACGAACTTATTGATTATATAAATGATTGACCCCCAAAGTGTTATTTGCAGACAATATTTTTGGAAGATGAAAGTCCAATTGGGATTATTCTAAAGTAATGGAAATAAACCTTAGAAACTAAAGATTTTATATTAAGTAGGACTAAGAATGTATAATGTGAAATATAGCTTTAGCAATATTAAGAGAAAAACCCAGGGTGTAATTAAGATGAATAGACGAGTTCTCATAAATGAGTTTCAATATCATGGACCTAATTTTCAATATGAAGGAGAGACTGATATACACATTATGCATATATTAAAAACTTGGATTGTTGAAGTGGCAATGGAGGTTTGCATGTCAAATATCAAAACCAAGTTGATGAATAACAATGTAAAAGAAGCAATTTAATGGCATATCACATTCATAGTTCAGAAAAGTTCATTCCAAAGGTAAAAATGTTCACTGTATTAACCAATATGTAAAAGAGAAATTAGCAAAAGTGGAATACCTATGGAAGTTCAAAAATGTATTCCACAAAAAAGAGAGTTGGTTTCCCATTGTGAAATATACATCCAGCAGTTCTTCCTTGGACAAAGAGTAGAGCATGACATCATTCTCAAAATTGACAGTGCCATTCGATTTCTGCATAAGAATATAGATATCAACTGAAAAGGAACTTAGATAATGAATTTTTTTTACAAAAAAATAAGAATTCCAAAATGCTCAAAAGCAATAAACTGCTGAAATGCAGCAAAACAAGCACCTCCAGAATATTCTGTAGCATGCCAGCTAAGTGTCCAACACCCATACTTGACCCAGAAATGCCCGTGTTTGCAGTAGATAAATCAGTTCTCAATGAAGAACCAATAAACTCAAATTTACCAAGATTGAGGTCAGCATTATGTAAATCATCAATTTTTTGTCCAATTGCTTTGCTTAGGTTTCTTATTTCTTCCATAAGTATCTCACGTGAAACAAACAGTGACTTCACAATTTCAATTGCTTTTGGGCTCCACCCTTGACCTAATATCTGAAAAGATACCAAAGTTAGCTATATGTAGGACATATAAGCAAAAGCATAACAGATATATGCACAATTTTATTTAATGGTTGCAGGGAATTATTCTAGATCAATGCAAAACATAATTAGGACGATTTCTAAACAAGACAAGCAGAAATATGCAACCAAATGTCAAATCAAATCAAAAATTTTAAGACTGCAATATGAAGGTTGAAAGGTAGTTCAAATTCTTTTCTCGATTTTAAAGCATATGAGTTCAAGGTAAGCATCATCTAATGTTTATCAACATAAAACTGTTGCCAAAAAGCAACTGAGTCTCGATATTGTTTGATATGCTTGTATGATGCAGATTCATGAGGTGGCAATTACTCATATCCAGTTAAAGTGCTCATTAGTACTCTAGTAAAGCAGTCAAAGGAGGTAGTTTCTAAAACAAAAGACAGCTGATGATTAGTATGAGCTTCTGACACTATCAGAGTGGAGTGAACCCAAATGGATATGAAAAATTGAAGAAATGGCATTCATATTCATATAGTGCTGCTAAATTACATCCTATCGAAGTGATTTAAGCATCAACTGAATTTTGCATAAACAAGACGAAGCATTAATTATAACAGAGTAGAAGATGGAGTGGAAAGAAAAACCTATAACAAATTATCATTAGCTTTTAATACTGACAGTGGCCAAATGCCTTTGGTTTTAATGATTTTAAATGACAAATAAGTCAGGACAACAATAAAAAGATAGATACCTGAATCACAAAGGCCAAGGTATCCATTTATATAATATTATCATTGAAGATCATATGCACATAATTTTGGATATAGGAAACTGGAAATATACATAATCTGATTATAAAAAACTAAATGAGTGAATGAAAAATCTAGAAAGATGTAATCATTTGATTTATTTCAGATGTGCTTCCATGTTTCAAGTGTTATGCTACATTTTCTTGTTATTTGATGATCCTTTGTTATTCTAAAAACAAACATTTTTAGAATGCATCATTATCAATGGTCATATGCATCTGAGGAAAAAGTTTTACATAATCCAAGAATAGATCTGAGAAGGTAACATAAAGGACCGTTATATTTTTGTGTCGAAGGGCACTTACCTGATTGGATCCGTAATATTCATCAGCAATATTCTCCACCATTAGAGAAGTACTGGCATTTCAAAATTCAAATCAATTGAAACATACTAGAGAGCAAAGTAAATTTTAGCATATGGACAAAAGAACAAACTCAAATTTTCACAAACCTTGATACCTTCTCTTGTATGCTGGTACCAGATTTCAGGAAAACAATGTGTACACTTAAATCAACAAGCACTGCATGGAAAGCATCAAAATGAACAGGACAGTATGAATGCAGACCATGTAGTGCTTTAGGAGGAATCCTGAATTCATGGACTGCAGTTGGAAACATTTCAATAGAGGCCTGAATTTCATTGCTGTAAAAGGAACCGAAAGAAGATTCAAATTGTCGTTGCAAAGAAAATCACCACTACAAATAAGAATTGATCGATAGAGAAGAGATAGAGCTAGCACAAATCTCACAGTGTGATTATGTTTTTGACTTACCCATTTTCGAACATTGGAGCATACATGAGCTCAAACTTTAGTATTGCCGCAGAACTTGCTGGTCTCTGGAAATTAAAGTACAAAGGTGTCAAAATGCAAACAAACGGATCTCACCTCAAGTGAGTCACTAAAGATGATGCCAACCTCATATTTCCCTGTAGCAAAATTGAAAGACACCATGATAGATAGAGGAACATCCTGTCTAGCATATTTGATTTTGAATGGATGGGTAAAGAAACTATGATCAGCATCATCGATCCTCCAAACAGCAAAAATATCATCTGAGACTATATTGGGAGCTGCAAAATACACCTAGGATGTCAATTCAAGAGATGCAGAAACATCATGCATGAGGAGAAGAAGTAAACAAGAAGAATATAAAAATGTTACTATCGCAGACTAAAGATGTTCAAGAATTCCACTAAGGTAACAATAATTGGAGACAAAGTTTAATAGAACTTTACCAGCACCATGCCTGAACACCCACTTATTTGGGTCACGATAATTCCACGCTGTCATGGGATGGCTGTTAATCCACCAAAAAACTACCCTTAAGCAAAATGGAAGTCAGTTAGTCCTAACTTAAGTCCAATAGACTGAATTATGGTGACTTTATTCATATGGATCTTTGGATATATTAGCTTTTTTTTTGTTTAGAATTTCAGTTAGTTCAAGTGATCAGATACTGGTTTCGTGATTTAAATAAAACTGATTCTTTGGTATCCACGTATATATCTGAGAAGATATCTAATATATTAGGATTGAACCATTGGGATATAGGATTTCAAGGAAAAAAAGATCTTCTAGACATAAAGTGCAATTTCGACCAGTTTGGTATGATATGGCCGGAATTTAGTGGTCCGATCACTGACCGGTACATGAATTACCAATTTCGAGCAATCCAGGGCTTACCGCTTGGCAATTCCTGTGAACCAAGTGATAAGGTCTGTGAACTGGGCTTCCTGCTTAGTTCAGAATATGTGAACCGAGATTACCACCTAGTTCAGCCCCAATAATGGGTCTAGACTGGGTGGTAAGCCAGCTCAGTTTTTTTTTTTTTTAAAACAAAAATTCAAACCCTAAGACCCAAGTTCAACTTTGTGCTTTCACCCCTGTGCCTGCTGGCATCTGTGTCCACCATCACGTGCATCCCTCACTGTATCCGTCTGCTGCCACCCACGTTCGTAGCCACCAGCCCTAGCATTGGTACTCTTCCTCTCCTCCTCCACCGCCTTCTCCCTTCCTCCTTTCCTCCACCACCTCTTCGTCCTCCACTTCTACGGTGCCACCTCTCCCTCCACCGTCACATCTTCATCCATAACGGTTGCAGCTAATACACCCTACTTATCAGAAGCATACTACAACAGTATTCAAACCCGTTAAACACATGTAACATCATAATGATTCTACTTGTGTCAAGCATAGCAAACCTAGGCCATCACATATCTGACGTCCAGTGATTACCCAGGTAGCACCAAACAACCAACAACATTTTAAAAGCTTCATCTAAAATTGGTACCTTCATACTGAATAACTCTGGACGGAGTACCACAAGATTCCAGGCTGCCGTCTTCCCATCTTGCGCTTATCTTTATCTGATACCATCTGCTTATTCAAACATAAGAAAATTAAAATTCTACTCTCAAAATCCAGATTAATAAGCTCGCAATTCACCTCATACCACAAAGTTCAACAGAAAAGTAGAATGCAGCGCTTTACCCTTGCTGGAATAGATCGAGGTTGTGGAACCGGTGAATATAAATGGCGATCTCGTGAACGGTCTCTAGCATGTCCGGCGTGAAGAATTGAACCCGTCGCGATCTCGGAGCAAGCAATCTCCTAGAGGGTGGGTTCTTCGGAATCGAGCCGGTGAGGCATCTCATCCGCGGAGGCATAGATTATTGGAGATCCTGATCGGGCTCAGGATTCGCATCCTCACCGCCAAGAACGACCTGATTCACATCCGAATTGACCGGTTCGTTCCCCTGCCACCGTGAATCCGACCAAGAGGCGAGACAATGGATCGAAAACTTGGATGGGATAGGCAAATGCAACGATCCGGATGCGAATTGGGGTCTCGTTCCTCTTATCCGCGGAGGAAATTAGGGTTTTGGACGTGAACGGGAGGGCTAAAAGAGGACCGGGAAAGGGGGCAGCGGATTCTCGCAATGCCGCGAGGGAGGAGGGAAGGAGATGGGTTATGGGGCCACCAATCAAAGCGAGCCACGACCGACGTCCCCGTGGAGCCAGATGAAACCGACGACGTCGCGCTGTCCGATGAGAAAGGGTGCGGCTTCCCTGCTGCCGCAGGGACAGGGTTCACAGCTATCGTCCGCTGAGGATTCGCTCACCCTGTTCGATGCTAAACAGGGGATCTGCGCCCGCGTCATCGAACGGGATCGGATCACTTTGTTATCATTATTATTAGCCGATGATACCTTTATTTTGTCTCATTCTTTCTTTCATCAGTGGCCATATAAGACTGTCACGTGCTGTTCTAATAACAATAGTGCAAGTTGAAGATAATGAATTGTCTCAATTATCAACGTGTTAGTTAGTTAAATCCTTGTCTCATAAGATCGAAAACATAGTGTCAATAGTGATGTTGAGTCTATTGTAATAAGGTAAGCCGTTTTGTTGAGGTGATAACTAATATACTATTAATAAACTATTCTGTAAATATGAATAGCCTAAATTATAATTAAATCTTGTTACCCGGGAATAACAATTTTATATCAGTGTTTGACCAACTTTGATATAGGAATACGATCGATTTGACTAGCATTCGGATAATTTCACAAAACTAATATAATGATATTGCAAGCAATATCATATTCTAAACTCATCTAAAACTATAATTTAGGAGCTTAAACTTGAGAATTAATGTGTGGATATATATTAATACAAGATTTCTGACAATTAATCATAACATTTGCCACTCTTCAAGTCAAAATAACATCCAATGATTTGATGCAAATGTCCTCGAGAATTAACTCCAACTGAATAACCAAAGACACTATAAAAGATTCAAAATAACTATTCCCATTGAGAATTTTGTAACGGTCCACCACAATGGTTATATAACATATGGTAAGAAAGGATTATTTAAGTTGAAGAATATAACATCCGATATATAAGAGAAGAATTGTTTAGGAAAACGCCGTTAAAATCCACCAATCGCCTCTCACGTCCATTTCATCTCCTCCGTTTCCTGGCAACGGAAAGGGGAGAGAGAGAGAGAGAGAGAGAGGAGGAACCAAATGCTGCCCTCTCTGTCGTCTTCCGGGAACGGAATAAAACCGAAGATAATCCCCTAATTGTTTATTTATTTTTATGCATTCAACGAATTAGATCTCTGTTCATCATTTCTCCCGTTCCTCCTCGCTGTATTATTCTTTCTTGGGATTCGTTGAGGTTGGCGGATGATGAGATGGGTGATGCAGGGGAGAAGGTTTAGGGGTCGAACCTGGTCTGGTCGGAGGGGGATGCGCGGGATTTGGTGCTGACGGATCATCTGCAGAGGGATCCGGATGGAGGCGGAGGACTTGCGGAGGCTGTTGAGGAGCTCCGACGTGGATCTGTGGGACTTGATCGAGACCGCGGTGGCGGTGGCGGCGGCGGACAGACCGGAGGAGCTCCGTGCGCGGCGGGATGGGATCGTGGAACGGCTCTACGCGCCGCCGGCTGATCGGTGCCGGGACTGCGGTCCCCCGGCCAGGTCGCAGCCGCGAGGGGAGGAGAAGGGGAGTAGCAGCCCGGCGATGAAGCGGGAGGCGGCCCCTCCGCCCACGCCGCCGTCGCCGGAGCCGGTGGATGAAGACGAGGAGGAGGAGGCGGAGGCGGAGGCGGAGGAGGAAGATGATCTGAAGAGTTATGACCGCTCGATCGATGCGGCGACCAGGAGAATCCTCGCCATCAAAGAGTCCTTGGAACACCCCGATCAGGTCTGTTTACCTCTAAGAAAAAAGTTCCCTTTTTGATTGGTTTCGACACACAGAAAAACGCATCATCGTGACCATCTCCTTGGTCTTCCATAGTCGGAGGATTCCCTAATTAGCCTCCTCCAGGATCTCGCGGACATGGACATCACCTTCAAATCACTGCAGGTGACAGATTCATTCATTTATGTTCAAAAGATCACTACTTCCGATGCATTTTCTTGGGATTTTGAGTCCTTTCGGCACTTTCGTGCTTCAGGAGACGGACATAGGGAGGCATGTGAATGGCCTTCGCAAGCATCCTTCCAACGAAGTGCGCGGATTGGTGAAGCATCTCGTGAGGTGATTAGAGATCGAGAGATAAGAAAGAAAAAGGAAAAAAGTAGAAAGAAATCATCTGATTCCTCTTCTCCATGTCTGTTTGTTCTTCAGGAAGTGGAAAGATCTCGTGGAGGAGTGGGTGAAATCAAATTCGCCAGGTGATCAATCTGCTTCTCCGGCAATCATCGGTACGTCTCCCAACCCCAGTCAAAACATCAGCTTTTACTTTTCCTTCCTTCCAATCAAAACAACTTTTGGGTTGCAGCAGATGGTGAGTCCCCACAGCAAATTCCCCGAAAGAACTTCCAGAACGGGCTCCAGGTTCTTAGCCTTTCTGTAATCTAACAATAACAACAATTTGTTCCTTCAGATTGTGGATTCAATTGTTGAATTCTCTATTGGATTGTTCATGGCAGACTCCAGAACGTGGAAACACCCCCCATTCTCACAGTAAGCAGTGATGGAGAGAGAGAAGAAAAAAAAAAAAAAAACACTCTTTTTTCCCCCTTTTTTTTCTTTCTTCCTTCGCATACACTGAACCCTGGCGTTGGATTCAAGCAGATGGTTTCTCGAGTTCAGAGGCAAAGGTGAAGGCCAATCCCCCGCGCAGAGAAGCTCCTCCAACCAAGCCGAACGCCCACGTCGCCACCGCGCTACCCTCTGCTCCTCCCCCTGTAAAGCAACTACTCCGTATCTTGTTTCCTATACGTCGGTTGACACTCCATGCTTCTCACTTGGTTCTCGATGGCAGAAGCCAAAAGAAGAAAAGGACGGCTTGCTCGACCCCGAGCGACTCGCTTCTGCCAGGAGGCGGCTCCATGAGAACTACCAGGAAGCACAGAACGGTAAGTGCCTCATCTCACATCTGACCCTCCCTCAGACGATCATAGCAACGACAGAGAGGATTAATCTTTTGCTTTCCTGCCACAATTGGGGACCGCCGAAGCCAAAAAGCAACGGACGATTCAGGTGATGGATATACACGAGATCCCGAAGCAGAAGAATACCTTCACCCGCAAAGGCGGGTTCCAGGGGAAGCACTGGTGACGGAGGAGACGGCGAACCGGCGGGGATTACCCGCTCAGCTTCCCTCCTCGATTTCTCTTCTCTGGCTGCAGATTTTTAAGCGGGAGAAATGGATTATAAATATGCATTCTATAAATTTGTGTGCGAGGAAATATGAGGATTTCGATTGGTTTGCGACAACGTGATAAGCTGGTCCTTTTGGTAAATGGCATTGTCGCCAGTCACCTGCGTTTCTTCACCAATTCGTTTTCTTTATCGAAAGATTTCTCGCTATAGGATTTTGTAGTTTGCCGGCAGATTGCTTACAATTTTTTAGGCTTGTTTGATCAACCAACACGGCGTTGTTGCTGAGAGACTGTTGTTTAGATGCTATGTGACATTACTGAGTCATACTAGAGGTTGCCAATCTTTCGAGTGCACAATAGACCTCCTCGTGTGTTGTCGATGGAAACTTGCAAGCGGTTGTTTCATTGCTCACCTTTACAGATGTCTCATCAATGGTATAACGTAACATGATGTAGATGTATGTTATAATATTACACAATACCCATAGTCGACTCGGGAAGCAACTTGGGAGATGGTACTTACAGCATTCGGTGGGCATTAGATGTTCATGCTGCCTCAATCCTCGTGTGCCAACGATCAGCACTGGCAACTGCCTCAATAAAGTTCTTTAATTACTTCATTACTTATTTCAAGTGTACTCGTCTTTGTGGAGGACGACGACGATATTTTACCGGATGTATGCTAACCACTAACTTATTTTTCTATTTTTCTAGATTTCGTCCCAAATGTGCAGCCCACATGGTGATCCGGTGATGTGACGAAAAAACTCAAGTCGAGTGGAGGAGCACCTCATCGATCGAGCCGAGGCGAGCCTTCGATTGCTACTCTTTTATGTAAAAAAAGGTCAACATCAGGAGAGAAATTTTTGACTCGACTCTTATAAAGTTTAAGTTAACTCGAGATAGTATGTAAGTGTTTTTTTTTCTTGTTGACGAGAAAGGGGATTGACTTTTATACCTCTTTGTTGGAAGGACAATAGTACGAGGCTCGTTAATGATATATGATACCTCGGGAGGTTGACTCATGTTTTCCGCATGACGTAAGCCAACCTACACGACTCCACGCAGTGCGACTTCGTCTTGCATCATCACAGATAGTTTGAGGTAGGATAACGTCACTTCATACAAATCCAAGCGGCATGGGTATAACTTTCATCACCCTCAATTCCGAGGTACTTTGTCACACGTGCACCACATCAGCCATGAGGTGGCTGCCATCCATTATCACACAAATCGTGCCAAAATATGCCCTATCAATTAGACACGGAACCAATTAGCCAACAGTGATATCTACTTTAATATGATATCTAAAGCGAGTATTCACTCGTTTAGACACTTAATTTTTTGTAACTTCAATGTTATTAAAAACATTCATAGGTTTAACTCCTACAACTCATTTTGAACTTCTTAATCCTCATGTCTTTTTCATTTGAGACTAATAGACATTGACTTTAGCATCAAATGGAACTGGAAAGTATAATGTTAAGCAAAGTTTATTTTACAAGAAACATCAAACGAAGACTTGGGACTCTTATGAGACGTGGGAGAATCTCACATCCAAACAAACCATCTCATGTGCTCTGGATAAGGCTCCCTAGGCGGATATCTTTCCTGATCAACCATCATCCCTTCTTCATTTTCTTGGCCAACCTTCCAGCCTTTAAAGTAAACTACTTTCTGAATACCAACGTAATAAGATTCATATCTTTCCTGATCAACCATCATCCCTGCTTCATTTTCTTGGCCAACCTTCCACAGCCTTTAAAGTAAACTACTTTCTGAATACAAACGTAATAAGATTCATAAAAACAGGATAGAAAGGGTCAATTCTGGCACGTAGAGTCCTTCAAAAATTTCATGTTAACAAGATTCCAAACTATATTTCTAATATCTCGAC